CTTCTACTTTTGAGGATGATGGTGTGTTAACTTATTCTGCAAGTCTATGGGGTGTGGTTCGGTTAAATGTAAGAAGATAAACAATCTTCTTGTTTCCTCTCTCGTTTTCATCTTCTGTTATCATCATTATAGTGCATTCCTTTTGCTTTCGAGCATTGATCCGTCTTTTAGAGCAGCGTGAGCTTCGTTCTCTTGTCCTAGAGCAGAGAGAGCTACAGCTTGAAGATAAGACGCGATATGCCAAGCAGGAGATATCACTTGGGCTTGCATTGCATCATTCAGCGCCTCTTGGGGCATCTCATTCATTAGGTAACACAGACTTCTCCTTGCATAAACAGTTGGGGAAACCATTGTCCCACCCTCGATAAACTGTCAAAACAAAAACTCTTTGGATCAGAATTTGTGATAGCCGGGTTTCTTAGATTTACTCACTGACTTTTATCTGAAAACCTCAAACACGCGGAAGAAAATATCTAACCTGAGAATAGCATTCAGCAGCATTTGCAAAGTCTTTATGCCGGAACGCAACATCACCCTTTTTCTTGAAATTTAGCGAGTCCTGCATCTGGTTGGTCCACATCTGGAACGAAAGCTGAAAATTTTGCAGAAAGCGAAGCAACAAGCAAGCCAAAAAGGTGATTAGATTACAATAAGAAACAAGGTAGCCCAATATACCGAAATTACCATATATTACAGTCTTGCCAAGGACTTGCAATGAGACAATTACGAGAGTGATTAAAACACAAGGTTGGAAAAGAAAGGAACCTCTGTGGCTGCCCCCTCATCATCTTTATATCCAAGTTTTTCAACAATCTCATGTATGGCAGTTAGATCTGTTCTAAGGCATGCTTCTCCGAGTGGTGAAAGAGGCGTTGTTGAGGCACTGCTTGGTATACCCATCAGTTGATGAGAAGGAGTCTTTTACATGATCAAACCAGGTTCTTATTAGTATCGGAAATAATCTTTTTAAAATGCAAAAGATACTATAGCTTATGTGATTCAGTGTGGATAGAAATAGAATTGTTTTTAGAGTTAATGATTGTAGGAAAGTACCTCAAGATCCTTCTGAAGAGGAATCATTGCAGTGACTAGAGATTTTGGGTTAGGCCGTTCTCGAGGCTCATACTGCAAGCATCTAGAAGCTAACCGTATTAGTTCAGTCCCATCATCACTTGTAAATTGACCCTCCAAGCATGAATCAATCAACATCTGAATGTTCCTGTCCCGTATGAGGTCCAGTGCCTAAGAATACACAGTACAATTAAAGTTCAAATTAGAAAAAGGCACTCTTCTCCGCGGATATTTGATAAATATTCAAAGATGATTTTGTGGAGATTGACTGATTCTTAATCATAAGCTTACATGGCTTGGAGGAATGTGTTTTCCACTAAGAAGATCAAGCAACAGAGTTCCATAACTGTACATCACACTTTCTGGTGTTACGCGACCTGTAGAAGTAAACACACATACTATGTCAAAAGAAGTCACAATCCAAATAGAGCAAACTGATATGTAAGTGTTTAAGTCTTTACCTGTTCTAAGATACTCGGGAGGAGTGAAAGCCAGGTTGGTACTATAACTCTTTCCATCTCTACTATTTTTCATCAAACCAAAGCATGAAAGTCTTGGATTTGAGTCCTAAAAAGAAAAAAACAAATGATTAGTTTTATACGCACATACCAACAGGGGCAAAAGAGAAGAAACAAACAAGCAAGCTTAACTTACATCATCAAAAAGAACTCTATAAGCATTTAAGTCATGGTAGAGTGCACGTCCTTTGCCTGTACAGTATTCTAAAGCTTGAGCAATATGTAAAGCTACTCTTAGTCGCATCGCCCACTTCATCGGTTGCGACTCCCCTAAAACATATCAATATAGTTTGAGACAAGCTTGATATACCCAAACATAGAACCATAAACCGGAGAAGCGAGCAAGGATCTTACAGTGGAAAAGATGCTTAGCCAAAGTTTCGTTGGGCATAAACTCAGCAACAAGAAGTCTCTCTTCACCTTCATAACAACATCCAAGCAGATTTGCCATTCTATAGTTCCTTAATTGACCAACAGCTTTAGCTTCCTCCTGTTAAAAGAACCAGAGATTCAAAATCCAGATTACCAAAAAAGGTAAGTGTTTTAAGCATAATTCAACAATAAGAAGATATTATTACCAGAAACTGACGAGAGTCAGGCCAAGCTTTCCTATTAAACCTTTTAACAGCAATACGTCTTTGATTATCCAATTTCCCTTTATACACAACATTTGGAGCTTTTTCACCATGTTCTGAAACTATATTCTCTGCAGCAAATCCTGAAGTAGCGTTCCTTAAAGTCTCAATCGAAAATTCACGAAACTGAGGCAAATCATTTCCTTCACCTCTCCTATCATCATCTGAGAAACAAAACAACAAAGTATCCACAATCAACACACACACACAAAAGAACCCTAGAAATTTTTTTCCAGATAAAGTCGATCATAGCTTACCTAAGCCTGTAACTCCATGATTAGATCCTTCTGGCTCTGAAACACAACAAAATGCACATAACTTGGAAACCTCACAACCCATTTTTTTCAAGTCAAACCATAAACCCTAAAACGCGTCTCTTTTTTGCTGATTTATCCAATCAAGACCTTAAAACAGATCAGACCCGTGTTGGATTTTTCTTCAGATTTTACGAAAATCTGAAAGACCCAGTTGCGATGTTGTTCCACTTACGGTACCAAAAGGGTCAAAATCGATCCTTTCGAAAAACCCAAAATTGAAATTG